CACAAAGACTCAACTTTCTCTCATGGAGTGAGTTTACGAGCACGTCCACCTGATCCATCTTACAGGAAGACACAGGCGGACTACTGGGGGGGTTGAAGGACGGGCTGCTGGATCAGTGCGTGACCTTTGACCCAGCCTTTCCAGCTGAAACTCCCAACTAAACAAACATGTTCAGGAAACAAAGCCTCTGACCTCAAGTCACACATTTTATTTGTGTTTTCTTCTGCAGCTGATTTTATCTTTAAGGTCACATTTTGTTAGAACACAAACAGTACAGATGTAGAGAAACAGCTGGAATGAGCTTCCTCTGGCTACAAGTAGCAACGACCTGGTCAGGACATCTGGTTTTAGCTGCTTGTTCTGACATGTAGAGGCACTTTAATGGTTTACAGAATAACTGTGCTCCGAACCAGAGACCATGTTTCTGGATGGTCTGAGGACCAGCTGCTGCTGCTTCACGTGTCTGTGTCCCTCAGGAGCTCCATGGAGGTTCTGCAGGAGCTCCATGGAGGTTCTGCAGGACCTCCATGGAGGTTCTGCAGGAGCTCCATGGAGGTTCTGCAGGAGCTCCACAGAACACCGGACTCCCAGCAGCTCCATCCGTCGGACAGTGCGTGAAAACGCGCGCGCATCTTAGCAGAAAGGAGAGCTCACCTTGGAGACGGTCATGTGTCGCGGCGGCAGGTGGAGGTCTGTATCCGGGAGGAGGAGGACTGTCGGCGGCGTGGAGCTGCTGCCGGAGGTGGAGGAGGAGGTTCCGGCCTGAGGAGGACGGAGTCAGACCTCCTGCTGCAGCGAAGAGTCCAATAAATTTAATCTGAACACAATTTAGAGAAACAGACGGCTCGCTGAGCAACACACTGAAGAGGAGTGGATGAAGGAGTGACGCGCACGGAGGCGGAAGGGGGCGGGGCCAGGCTGTCAGTAAAATAATCCTGCAGCTGTTTTTGGGTCAGGAGGGTTCAGTCTCCTTTCCTCTGGTCTCTTTACAGGTGCTGGTCCTGAAATGAGAAGTTCATGAAAAAGTTGATTTATTTCAGTAATTCCATTCAAAAAGTGAAACTTGTAAATTATATTCATTCATTACACACAGACTGAGATATTTCAAATGTTTATTTCTTTTAATGTTGATGATTATAACTGACAACTATAATGATAACCACAAATTCAGTATCTCAGAAAATAAGAATATTACTTAAGACCAATTAAAAAAAAGATTTTTAGAAATGTTGGCCAACTGAAAAATACGAACATGAAAAGTACGAACATGAAAAGTACGAACATGAAAAGTACTAACATGAAAAGTACGAACATGAAAAGTACGAACATGAAAAGTACGAACATGAAAAGTACGAACATGAAAAGTACGAACATGAAAAGTACGAACATGAAAAGTATGAACATGAAAAGTA